TGCAAAGTCTTGGTGTACCTGACTTTGTAGCAAAAATAGAAAACATTATGGGCAATATCTGCCAATCATTCCTCTGATTTGCAGCCGATGTTTATATTTCTAGTTACAACTTATTTAAATTTGAAAACAAAGTGTGTAACCTATTGTAGTAAGTTATCAACATCTAGCACTACTTCAGCGTGAAATCAGTGCCTGGAATTGCTGTAAACCGACATATCAGCAGTGTTCCCTCCAAGTGTTCCCTCCTTGCTTAATTGATATCACAAAATTAAGCAATCAAATTTCATCATTCGCACAATTTTATGCTTAATATCATACATTTATAAAATTAATATATAAGCAAAGTTTTTTAGTCTAACATTTGCTTACAGGGAGCACTGTTTATCAGCTATTGCCCCAGTGGACTGTTTAAAATTTTGTGAAATAATTGTACAAACCTGTGGACACAATGCCTCAATCTGTTGTGCCGACATTCGGACACACTTAACACCTTCTTCATTATTAGACATAGAACAAGCCAAGTTGGCCACTTCCACCAGTTTATTAGCATGTTCACGGAACACATTCGCATATTCCTCAACTTCCTTCTCATTACCACTCTTGGCTGCCTCAATCAGAACCAATAATGGCACATTAGTTTCCAGGAAAGAGTCAGAGACATGGTCCACTACTGCTTTACGGAGCTGAAATAGAATATAAACACTTGATGTACACATTTGGAGAGAAAAAGTTTTACTTTTTTTCAGCATTTCATATTTAGGAATATTTGCAATCTTATTTTGGGTACTATGTGTGTGCATTTGTGGTGGGTTTTAATGACGGGCGCCCTCTATGGCAAAAATTGTAAATTCTGGATGGAATGATTAAAAGTGCACGGCATATCGTTCCAGCAGAATGTTTCTGATAGTGCATTAACCCCCCCCCCCCCCGAATGCAAGCAGTCATCTTTGAATATTATGATATTAATGTTATTATTGAATATATGTAATATGGCAACATTTATTTATAAAATTTTAACTCAATACCCCAAAAAACAATAAGATGTGTGACCTTAAGACGTTATGAATAAAAGTAATATAGTCATATCGGTCTGTGAAGTCGATACCCATACGTTGAAATATTTGATTTCATCTCACACTGATATCATCCTGCATTTGAAATCAAACTTAATGTGTGGGAAATGGATGAAGTCAAACTCACTAATTTTTGCACTGGTTGAAGGTAAAAAGTATTTAAAATAACTGGAGAACAGAAATTATTGTACTTTTAGAATGCTATAGTAGAGAAGAGTTGAAAACATACCTGTCGACGTAGATCTCTGGTCTTCTTAAACATTCTATCAATAGCTTGATCCAATGGATCACTACGATCAGGTTTTCCAGCCTAAAAACAAAAATTCAGAATTCATCAATGTTGTTCTCAACATGCATTTGCACAGCAGAAAAGATGTTTTTCCAGTCCTACGCTATTCAAAATATTAGATGTGGCGACATGCATTTTGTGTGAAAATCTTATATACAGCACAACAATGTTTAGATATGTATCTGGGTGTAGCACTTTAGTGTGATTGAAAAATACACCCAAACCAGCAGTAATGCCATTTAGCTCATAGTTTTGAAAACACCCTTTGATATCATTACAAACTGTTATATTTGAACTGGCAAAATTGCTACCATATTTTCTGGCAAAACAGCGAGATATATTGCAATATAGCTGGTTGGGTTACTTTTTCTTTCACATCAATGTATCAAACTTCAAAATACATTAAAATTTTTTTATATATGGAGTAAACCAGCATTGACTAGTTCCGGATTATTGTTGTTACATTCAAACACACCTGCTTTAGTTCATATAGTAGCATGTGACAAAAACAGAATCCAGTCACTAAATGCAAATTTTAGAACGACGCATAACTTTTTTTTTCAAGTCATATCTGGCTGTTATCTCTCACTAAATTATTACTGAAAGCAGGAAAAATATGTATAACAATATGGTTATTACAAAAATACTGCAAGTATGCACTCAGGCAGTATAAGAATGTATTTGTCTACACCGTTCTGCAGAAGTAACCTACTTTATAACCTTATTATATTACATTATGTTTCTGCTGATTATCATCATCCCTTTCTGCATTTTCGCAAGATTTTTTAGAAAATAGGTACAAAATTTGTCAACCCCAGGTGTTCTGAACATCCCTGAATTAAAAAAACACTGACTTGAAGAGGACAAGATAAACCACTTACACAAGCCATATATTCTGACAGAAGATCTTGAAGAGCTTGTCTGACAGCGTTACATTCAGCTACAATACGATCACGGTGATCATCACGCGTACAGGATGAATCGGCCATCAAAGCAGCACCACTAATAATACTCTCCAACCGTTCTTCCAAGGATGGACGGGTACGTACTTCATTATAGCTAACAGGATTCATCACAATGGTGTGCTGCAATCAATCAATTTTTTATTGTTAATTTGAGACCAGAGGATTTTATTTAACCATATAACCATGATAACCACATCTCATAGTACATTCATTCATTTATGCCCAAATTGCGACTTGGCATGTAGGGCAGCAATGAGGGCTTGCCACTCCTGCCTGTCCCGGGCTAGCTTCTGTATGGTTCCCCCAGGTGTGTTTGGAAGGTCCTCAGCTCTGCTTCCATAATTCTTGTGTTTTTGGAAATTTTACTCCCACTGATTCATTTATGCTTACTTTTTTTCAAAATTACATTAAATTGATTGACATTCAGTCATCTTGTATCTGATCGTCAAATGAGTACTTGTCCATATTGAGGAATATTACTCTAACAGCATTAATTAAAACAAACTGGCCACTGGTTGCCCATATTGAATACAACTGTATATCTATAACATGATGTATAATGAATATATAAAATTTTAACATAATCATAAGCAGGTCAGAGATGGCAAGAACCACATTCATTAAAACAAAATGGCCGCAGTCTGCCATTTGAAATTCAATCTGAAAAACAAAATGACATGCATCAGGGTCCCATAATGTTTAATGTAAGTACCAAGTAACAAAATCCATCCATAAACGACAGAGATCCAGTTCCGGAATGCAAGAAATGCTTGATTTTGATGATTTTTCAGCACATAAATGGCTGCCATTCGACCATCTTGAATCAGACTGTGAAACAAATTGATGTGCATATGTACAATATTATGTATGATGTATGTGTGAAGTTTGAATGTAATTGGCTCCATGCACGTCTAAGATATAGGTTCGGACACACGCACGCACACACACGTACGCACACACAGAAGTCAATTCATAAGTTCTGGTTTTCGAACTGTGTCCGAAGAGGGACTACAAATTATTATTATCATTCAGGAAAACTTACATCGAATTGATCTAGTGCTGACGCCAGCTCGCCAGCCCCTTCTATAGTAGTATTTGGCTCAGATTCTCCAGATGCTTGTGTAACACCTGATATAGCATTGACAGCTTCACACAATTGCTTTACAACATAGTCTCTATTTTCTTTGGCAGCACTCACATCAGGATGGCGAATATATGCCTGTAAAATTACAAAACATGCATAGTCAACAGGTAGCATAGTTCTACAAATAACAGTTACAGATTGGATAGACTACCACACCTTTGAAATTATTATTTAAATACTATATTTAGCATCCTAAAAGCGATGAATAAGTGGTAAATTATTACTACACTCTGCAGGTGTTTGAGAAAGAAGGATAATTTTAAGGCACACATGTAAATTATAAATACTGTATTTGCACATGCTATGGTCAATATAAGTAACATTTCAATGATTCATTATAAAACATAAATAATTTTAAGTTTATATACGCTTCTAACAGAGCAAATACTGTACAGCTTTCCTATTTTTTGTTAGGTACTTCAAACATTATAACAATTATATTTTTCATAAAGCCATGTGCTGACTTTTTAAAATCCATTTTGACAGGAAAGTCAATCATTGATGACTCCTATAAAGCACAGTTTGAAATCAAATTATCCTGTATTTATTGCATTTTATTGCCACCTGTAACTTTTCCACATTTTACAAAATGTGACCCTCTTGCCTACAGTTTATTTGTACATACCTTAGATGTGGTTAATAACATGGTACTATGTTTCTGAAGATCAGCTCTAGCAGCCGCCATTTCATCTCGACGACGTGGATCTTTCAAATCCTACAAACAATAATAGAAACAGGATACAAGAATAAGAATTTTTTTCTTTTGGTAGCATCAGTTACTAGAGTGTTAGTTCTGATGTTTATACAACCAGTAATATTTCCATTAACATAGCATTTTAAAAACAAAATATAATGTTTATAAAATTAGCAGCTTTTCAATAATTAGTATACATACAGGAATGTACATTGCTTGTGTTGTTGAGCAGATGTAATCTGTTACAGTATCACTTTACGCTTCAGCAGATTTACAATTAAAAGTATTTTGATGATATTTTGAAATAAAGTAGAATTTCAGTTGTACAATATATTTATTTAATTTAGAATTTAGTTATAAATATGAAGTCTGCTACAATAGTTTTATCTGTATAATATAATATAAATAACAGGACCTTGTCTTGAACGCAATGGGCGGTATGTTAGATTATTAAATATATATAGTCTGACCTTGTAATTTAACTATTAATGTTAATGTATATTAAATCGAACAAGATTCCAATTACTGGTGTCCCAAAACATGAAATTAATTTCACTAAAGTAACAAGGATGTACAGTACTACATTATACTAATGAAAATATGAAATAACTTACAAGAACATTATTAGCACTTATGCCATTCATGAACTTTCAAGAAACAGAGGTTATTTGATACATTATGCTAACTAATAATATTGTTCGGGTATTTACCCAAGAAGAACTATAGTGTTACTCAAACGTTAGCTAGGTCTTATTTTTGCTGATGAACAGAGGGCCACTGGGAAAGAACCACCATCCTCAAATAAAGTATTTTCAGATATACGCTGCACGTTTCCTCATTAACGAAAATGAAAAACTGGGAAATCTGTTTAAGAAGGAAGGATGGTATTTTTTTACCAATTCAATTTTTCAGCATAAAAAAAGTAAAATATGCAATAGAAGTTATATGTATACCTGAAAATAAAATAGCCACGACTTACGTTTTGTCTTCGTGCACTGAGCTGATTCAAGTGTACCATATCTTTGCCAAAGGTTTTAAAACTATTGACAAGCTCTTGCTGGGTCTGAGCACTCTTAACTTTCTCTAAATCTTCTTCAACCTGAATTTAATCAATAAATTTAAACTTTATTTTGGTAACACATCAGCATATAAATGTTACAAATGCAATGTTGTTCACAGAGTCAACTTTGTTGTAGCACTGAACCAATTCCCTCAGGAATCAGCGATTCTGCTACCCCCCACCCCCACCCCTCCCTCCTTCAATCTTTCCACAATCAAACGTTCTCATCTGGAATACCCTTGTTAAAAAAAAAAAGGAAAAATTTCAATTCAACATGATTCCTGTATTCTTGAATACTTACAACTCTCAATGACTTCAACAATAGATGCACGTCAACCATATCAGCCAAAATAAGTAATCTAGTGACAGAGATAGAAGAGCTCTTGCTGCTCTTACCATATTACCACGTTTAGCAGAGGAACATGGATCGTCAGCAAACTCACCTGAGGATGACCGCATAGCATCACCTGAAAAAATTGTTTATAATAATCAATATTTCTAGTACCTTATGTAGGAAGCTACATCATTGTTTATAAAATACTGTAAAGGGGGAAATTATTCACTGGGTTTTAATTTAGCTTATTTCGCTGACTGGAAAAATGCGCTAAATTAAAACACAGTGAATATGTAAAATTTAGCATAGAACACATTATCTAAATGACGAAACCGTGAATTTAAAACCCACTGAATATGCCTGAAATGGTAAATCAGTGAAATTTAAACCCAGTGAAAATTAGTCATTTTACAGTACATGACCTGCTCAATTTTACTAAAATATTAGATAGTAGATTTGTATTTGTTAAAGGCAGAAACAAATTTCTAAGGTTATTTAAAGGCGAGAGATTTGATAAAAACAAACTAGTTTGTGAAACTCGTGTACAATAAGGACAGGACACTAGTCCATGCTGTTTTTTTCCCTACTACAAAATGTTGTGAGCTTTGCAAGTAGAACAGTAGGTACACTTTTTTTACTGCCGAGTTGAGCGCAGGGATCAAGCTTTGCCTTTGCCGGGAAAATATTCCACACACCACAAATTAATGCTATCCATTGAAGTATAAGCTCACCTGTTTTCCTGACATCATCTACAGCTGTCATCATTTCTTTCTGAATTTCAGGATTCTCATTAGCTATTACTTCTCCCTGTTCAATAAACTTCTGAGTAGCTTTGTCTACAGCAGCCACAAGTACATGTGCTTTCTTAGATCTTCCCTTCTTTTTGTTGGATGGACCTTTTGTATTTACTAGTGTTGTCACCTAAAATTACCAAGAAAGTTCAAGAGTATTTTTTTTTATAGTTACAATCCTGGGTTCAAGATTCCCTCCTTACAACTCAATATCTTACAATAGTTTGTTTTTTTCTGGTAAAACATTATGGTAATTTTTTAGTAAAACCGAATTCACTATTACAAGAGGATTTATCAATCCTTTTTTGGGTACAAGTCATCACTGATATTCTTCAAATTAGGTTAACAATTGGAAATTATTGCTTTTATGGGACAGTATCCACACAAAGCACCAGGATGTGATATTTCAGGAGTCTTGTTTCAGCCATATTAATCCTTCTGAAACTGCTAGACAAGCTGCAATAGCAAAACACTTTTACACTGATAGCTACGGTCTCGCACGTCTAAAAAACGCTGGTGTTGACACTGTTTTTTTGTTGTGCAAATATTAGATAATCTGCTGAATTGTCTGCTCGCGTTCTCACTTAAAAAACACTGGTGTTTTGCGCCCTCAATGTATCATATCACAGAAAGGTCAATAAACAAATGGAAAGGTCAATCGATGGCACTTGCTTTGTTTCTGTTTTTCCGCTCGAGAAGAAGGCGATCACGACCGATTAATCGAGAGTCGAACAGAACCAAGAAATGTTCACGTTATTCGCGTGTATGAATAACCCAACAATTGACCCAGCAACCCAAGCGATTTGGAATCGACAACGCGGAAATAAATATCAGCAATTTAGTTTCTTTGTCTGACCAGTTCGACATTCAACTTGTGACCTCTGATGCCATCTTGTGTTAATGTCAAGCAAGTAATGTCAAAATAAGTCGGCGGTAGAGAGCGTATTGTGTTCGCACGGCACATTTCATTGTGCAAGAGCCGGTGTGACAATGGCGTTTAGGATCTGGTCCACCCCTTAAAGGACGGTGTGTCAAAAACGTTGGTGCCACAACGGCGTATTCTGTTAACACACACACACGCACATTTTGACAACGTTTCCAAATAAAAGGCATTGTGACAATGGCTTATTTTGTCTAGTGAGAACACCACTATTGTTTCAGTAATGAGGAATGAGGTTGTTAGATACAACAATCAACAATTTTTAAAACAAATCCTAACAGACAAACCATTACAATAATCATCCTTGTAGTTAATCACTTAATCTCTCAAATCTAAACGCGACAGCTGCAGAATACATTTAATATACAAACGCGAACATGTAATTCCCATAAGATGTTTTATGCTTACAAATACTCTATAAATTCAAGCATGTCAATACTAAGAGCTAATTAAAAACAAGCAGCCTCTCGGCTGAGATAGCTCCGCTGTTAGCAATGCACATTTCAATTAAAGAACAGATTGTGAAGATATATTAGAAAATGAACAATATGCATAGATAGTATCAATGCAATGGGACTTGCTGTTTTAAACAAGAATTCAAAAATATCATTTTTCACCATAAATGATTGTGGTTTTTAACAAGAAGAAAATATCACTTTTTACCAAAAATGACAAAAATATTCACCAAAATTAGAAAATTAAAGATATCATCATGAAATGAACAAATTTGAGAGTGGTCCACATGTAGTACCTATATATGTAATATCAAAGCAATTGGACTTTTGGTTTTTAACAAGAAGTCGAAAATATCACTTTTTACCAATAATGACAAAAATATTCACCAAAATTAGAGAATTGAAGATATTCTCACAAACTGAACAAATCTGAG